AAACTCGCAACTAAACTAAACAACTAGACAAGACCCGCACGGGTAATAAAACGACGACACAAACAACAAAAACAACTGGACAAGACCCCAATCGGAGTAAAACCGAAGTGTCGGACCCCAACCGGAGTAATAAATTTGACACCCGGAAGCACTGAGGCCAACGGCCCAGACCTAAAACACGATCACAAACACATAAACAAACACAAATAAATAGACACATAAATAGGAAAAACAACGAAATAAAATGGAGCCCTCCCCCGACGAGCAGACAAATCCAACCAGCAGTGGACGATCGACACAAGAAAGATCCCTGCCCGAGAATCCGCTACCGAAACTGCAAACTGCCTATACAGTAGAGAACACCGAGCCCCGAACCGATCCCAGAATCGACCCATCCTCAACCGAAAGAACCGCACCAACCTTCACTCCAGCCCCACCCGAACTCGACGAGCTCGAGAGACCCAGGTCCCCGCCACCTAACACCACTAGGTAAACGGGTACGCGCGAATGTCGAATGCGCCCTTAGCCCCAGCCACCGCGACTGCCAAGCCGCAACAACCCGAGCCCTGACCCCCAGCAGAGCGAACACACCACAGAGCAGCACCCGCCGGCAATTGAGGAGACCCGAACCACCTGCAAGCCGCCGCACCTGAAGGCCGCTGCCGCCGTCAAAACCAACTCACCCGCAGAGCGACCAGGCCCAATCGAGGAGCACCAAGACGGAACTAGTGTCGCGCGGACCAGAGGGGGGGCCAGGCGGTCAAGGACGACCCCTGGCCGAGAAATTGCCGCCGACGAGGGAGGCTATCGGACGATTACTGAGAGAGGAAAGGGGATCGAATTTGGGGAATAGGGTTTCGGTGCTGAGAGAGTTTTTTGTAAGATATTATTGCTGGGTTCATAAAAGTTTTAAAAATATATTATTTTCATTGATTTGGTTATGTTGAATTGAAAAGTTATGTTTTTTAATTATATATTGGGAGGATATAATATTTCTTATATTTTTTTATGTAGTATTTATTGAATAATTGTGTTTACAATTTTTCTATTAAAATTATATTAAACGCATGAACTTTTTAGATCCTATAATTTTTTATCAGAAATCACTCATTATTTTATCCCAAGATTACCTATTAATTTACCAATTGAGTTACAGTTCTTACATATTAAATATTATATAATTAAAATATTTGTTGTTTTATCTGTTCAATATGATACTTATATATTATATTAAAAAAACTAATATAGTAAATTAAAAAATTAATTAAAATTAGAATAATAAAGATTTTTTTTTCTAATCTACATGTGTAAATGTACAAATAACTATTGTCTATCACCTCAAATTTACACATAAAATTAATTAGAACAAAAAACTAACAAGCGTTTAACAATTCAGTTCGATTACATCGATAAGTATATTTTTAGAAGGTTTATATTTAGTTATATTAATTGTATTATTTTTGTTTATTAGTTTTTTTTATATTTATTCGTACGTGTCACAAATTAGTTATTATTCATAATATTTATTATATTTAATATTTTTTTTAAAACTTTATCTTGTTCTTTCACATGTTCTTAACTGTAGATTTGTCAAAAAATACATAATATAAAGAATAGAATTTTTTTGATCATCTGCCTCATTATATATCAAATATTTGTATATTCTAAATTATATTATATATAATCAATAATTAAATATTTACAATTCATAAATTCATTAATAATATTGTCGAGTCAACTTTTGTTCATAAAATTTTTAAAAATATATATTTTCATTGATTTGCCGATATTGAATTGAGAAAAGTTATGTTTTTTTAATTATATATAGAGAGGATATAAGATATGATGACATTAGTATATTACCAATTTGCCATTAAAAACACGTGAAAGTAAGGGTTTTTAGGTAGTTCATTTTTTAATTAAAAATATAAATAAAATATGATGTGTATTAGTGTATTACTAATTAGCCATTATATTTTTAGAAGGTTCATATTTAGTTATATTAATTATATTATTTTTGTTTATTAGTTTGTTTTATATTTATTAGTAAGTGTCACAACTTAGTTATTATTCCTATTATTTCCTATATTGAATATTTTTTTAAACCTTTATCTTGTTCTTTCACATGTTCTTAACTGTAGATTTATAAAAAAATGCATATATAAAGTATAGAATTTTTTCGATCATCTGCCTCATTATATATCAAATATTTGTATATCCTATATTATATTATATTTAATTACAATTTTTTATTTAATATTTCAATTAAATATTTACAATTCATAAATTCATTAATAATATTGTCGAGTCAACTGTTATTCATAAATTTTTTAAAAATATATTATTTTCATTGATTTGCTTATGTTGAATTGAGAAAAGTTATGTTTTTTATTTACATATAGGGAGGATATAAGATTTCTTATATTTTTTATGTAGTATTTATTGAGTAATTGTGTTTACAATTTTTCTATTAAAAATATATTAAACACGTGCACTTTTTAGTTCCTATATTTTTTTCCATAAATCACTCATTATTTTATTCCAAGATTTCTTATTAATTTACCAATTGAGTTACAATTCTTACATATTTAATATTTAATAATTTAAGTATTACTTGTTTTATTTGTTCAATATGATACTTATATATTATATTAAGAAAACTAATATAGCAAATAAAAAAGTTATTTAAAATTAGAATAATAATTTTTTTTTTTCTAATCCATATGTATAAATGTACAAATAACTATTGTCTATCACCTCAAATTTACACATAAAATTAATAAGAACAAAAAACTAACAAGCGTTTAACAACTCAGTTCGATTACATCGATAAGTATATTTTTAGAAGGTTTATATTTAGTTATATTAATTATATTATTTTTGTTTATTAGTTTTTTTTTATATTTTTTCGTACGTGTCACAAATTAGTTATTATTCATATTATTTCTTATATTTAATATTTTTTTAAAACTTTATCTTGTTCTTTCACATGTTCTTAATTGTAAATTTGTCAAAAAAACACATAATATAAAGCATATAATTTTTCGATCATATGCCTCATTATATATCAAATATTTGAATATCTTATATTATATTATATTTAATTACAATTTTTTAATTAATAATTTAATTAAGTATTTACAATTCACAAATTCTTTAATACTATTGTCGAGTCAACTTTTGTTCATAAAATTTTTAAAAATATATTATTTTCATTGATTTGGTTATGTTGAATTGCAAAGTTATGTTTTTTAATTATATATTGGGAGGATATAATATTCTTATATTTTTTTTATGTAGTATTTATTGAATAATTGTGTTTACAATTTTTTTATTAAAATTATATTAAACACGTGAACTTTTTAGTTCCTATAATTTTTTTTTTATCAGAAATCACTCATTATTTTATCCCAAGATTACCTATTAATTTACCAATTGAGTTACATTTCTTACATATTAAATATTATATAGTTAAAATATTTGTTGTTTTATCTGTTCAATATGATACTTATATATTATATTAAAAAAACTAATATAGTAAATAAAAAAATTAATTAAAATTAGAATAATAAAGATTTTTTTTTTTCTAATCTACATGTGTAAATGTACAAATAACTATTGTCTATCACCTCAAATTTACACATAAAATTAATTATAACAAAAAACTAACAAGCGTTTAACAACTCAGTTCGATTACATCGATAAGTATATTTTTAGAAGGTTTATATTTAGTTATATTAATTATATTATTTTTGTTTATTAGTTTTTTTTATATTTATTCGTACGTGTCACAAATTAGTTATTATTCATAATATTTATTATATTTAGTATTTTTTTAAAACTTTATCTTGTTCTTTCACATGTTCTTAACTGTAGATTTGTCAAAAAATACATAATATAAAGAATAGAATTTTTTCGATCATCTGCCCATTATATGTCAAATATTTGTATATTCTAAATTATATTATATATAATCAATAATTAAATATTTACAATTCATAAATTCATTAATAATATTGTCGAGTCAACTTTTGTTCATAAAATTTTTAAAAATATATATTTTCATTGATTTGCCGATATTGAATTGAGAAAAGTTATGTTTTTTTTTTAATTATATATAGGGAGGATATAAGATATGATGACATTAGTATATTATGAATTTGTCATTAAAAACATGTGAAAGTAAGAGTTTTTTAGGTAGTTCATTTTTTAATTAAAAATATAAATAAAATATGATGTGTATTAGTGATTACTAATTAGCCATTAAATTTATGTCAAAGTAAGGGTTTTGTAGGTATTATGAATTTTTACAAAAACATTTCTCCTTTTAAAGTAGTATAGATATAGATAAAGTAGTATAGATATAGATAAAGTAGTATAGATATAGATAAAGTAGTATAGATATAGATATAGATAGATATAGATAATTTTTTTCAACAGTTAATAATAACACTTAAATTTGTGATTGTTATTATTATTAATTATTATTATTATTATTATTATTATTATTATTGGAAATGAACGGTGTTTTTAATTCGTCTGTCCGCCTCTCCTCTACTCTCGAACCTTCCTAACGTCCGGCAGCCGTTCGTCAGCCACCTCCGATCGCCGTCGCCATTTGTGGTAATTATTGGACGGCAAAATAGACATACATATGGATTTTGCTATTGTGCATCTTGTCCTATATTTCTTTCAAAAGAAATAAAAATTCTACTGGCTTTTACTGTTTTACATGCTCTGCGTTGTACTGCCGTGGGCTTCGAGCATCTGTTCTCCTATTTTCGTTCAATTTTACAGTTTTCAATGGCGCTGTTTGAATCATTCCTTAGCTCGATTGCTGAAGAACCCTAGAATTCAAAGAACCCTATTTATTACATTCTCAAGGTGAATTTTATTACTGTTTTGAGTCTATGAATAGTGTATCTTTTATTCAAAAGGTAACAAACATAAAGAAACACACTGTTCTTGCTTATTGAAGAGAGTTAATTGCAGGTAAAATTTTAGAAGATTTGTCCAGTGATGTTGATTGCTATAACACTCCTGACTGTGTGCTTTCTTGATTCCCAGAGCAAGAAGCCTTGTGCAACAGATTCATTATTCCCCCAACCACTCATGTTCTTGCTGCGGTGAAACGTCACGTAGTACGTCGCCTTCTGCTTCAACCTCGTGAAACACATCCTCGATGGCCTCACGACAATATTCACACCCGGGGGCTCGGAAATCCTGACGGAGTAACACGAGACAGGCTCGCCCACGTTGGTGACGATCCGGGACAAAGTCTGGCACGAGCCTAGTTTAACCGAGAACGTGGGGTAGTTCAGTTGCCCCTGAGGGATTCTCGAGGAACAATCGACCGGCTCCTGCATGATCATCTCCACTTGGCTCTCCGTGTATCCCAAGCCGCACAAAAACGGGACGTACTCATGCATTGCAATGTCATATATCAAACCGGGATCCAACGCCCTGTTCGGGTTGACGTGGCCGGCCCCCGTCGCGTAGATATTGGCCGGTGTAAGTTTCTCGTCGAGAATCGGTATGCCGTGGGCATTGACGAGGTCCGCGGTGGTCATGATAGCAGATTTCAGGGCCGCCGGCGACCAGTCAAGGTGGGCGCTCTTGAGCAGGGCAGCGACCCCACTGAGGTGAGGACACGATATCGATGTGCCCGATTCGATTCTGAATTTGATCCCCAAATGTGTCGGGTCCAGAGGAGACCACGCGGCCAGAATGTTTTCAGCGGGCCCAACGATGTCCGGTTTCAAAACTCCGGGAGCTTGGCTGCTGGGCCCCCTGGATGAGAAATAAGAGATGGCGGGGGAAATCGGGTTTCCGAGCTCCGTCCCCTCGAACAAGATTGTTGCCGTTGGAGAGGATGCTGACTTTATGTAGGCCTTGATTTCCTGGCCCGCCCAAAAGGCCACTGATGTGGATGGTAAGTCGAGGAGATAAGAACAGTGGCTAAACCCCGCGGCTTCCTGGTTCTCCATTATCATGGCGGCAGCACCAGCATCCTTAACTTCCCGGGCTTGATCCTCCGGGTTGATGAAATCATCTCCGTCGCACAGCACAATCTTCTTCCTGACATTGAACCCCACCAGCGACCCATTGTAGCATTCTTGCTTCCCGGAGCTGTTGTAGTAGACGAGCCGCCACAACTTTTGAGAAGAGAAGTTTCTTGGTTGGAACACAGACTCCCCATCAAACATCAATCCGTTTCCCAGCTTTGCCGTGGCCTGAATCCTTCGGTCAATCGTGCTTGCCCCGACGGTAATAACCCAGGGCGCGTCGTTGGACAGCGTCGAGGAGGAAGGACCGCTGTTCCCTGCCGCCAGGCTCGTGAGGATTCCTTTCTTGGCCGCCGAAAAAGCTCCAGTCATTAAAACGTCTTGGTAAAATGCTAAACCATAACTACCCATGGATATGGACAACACGTCCACCCCATCCTCGATGGCGGCATCAATACCGGCTAGAATGTCGCTAGGGTCGCAGCCGTCATCACCAAAGCAGACTTTGTAAGCCGCAAGGTGAGCGTGTGGGGCCACCCCAGATGCGGTCCCGGCGGCGTTGCCTTGGATGCTGACGTTGGGCACGAACGCGCCAACGGCTGTGCTGGCCGTGTAGGTCCCGTGCCCGTGCCTGTCGACCGGCAAGGCAGAGGCGTTGCCCCCTCGAAACGCTCGCGCGCCTATCACTTTGTTGTTGCACCCGAACTTGTGAGGCAGGTCGCACCACCCCTTCCAGCTGGCAGGCGCGGGCGCCATGCCGTCGTCGCTGAACGAGGGGTGGCCAGGTGGTATCCCGTCGTCGAGGACCCCGACAATGGCTCCCTTGCCGAGCCCCGTCCGTGGCCAGGCTCCGCTCCACTGATTCAGCCCGAGGAATCCTGGGGAACGGGTCGTGAGCGGCCGATAAAATGCGTGGTCGGGGAGCATCGAGATAAAGCCTTCCGTGCCCTCGATGATTTCGACTTGTTTGGCTGTTAGTCTTGCCGAGAAGCCATTGATGGCGTGTTTGTACGAGTAGATGAGCGAGTCTTTGGCTCCCGAAGGAAGAAACGACTTGTGGTAGCTCATAATCGTGTCTTCGGTTTCGGCACTGCCGGCTAAGCTTGGATTCATCTTCTTCATCTTCTTCACATGGACGATGTAGGTTTTGACTTTGTTATCGTTGGCCGACGACACAGCCGGGAAGAGGAAGAGAAAGGCGAAGAGGGTTATGGGTATGAGTACTGTGGTTGCTACGCTTACTGGTGCGCTTCTCAGCCCTTGAACTTTGTTGATGTAGAATATATGATTAAGTTACTTGGTGTGATAGGGGAAATATTAATGGAAATTGTGTCGCAAAGTGAAATCTTACTTATAGGGCAGCTAACCTACTCCTAATTTTTTTTTTTTATATATTTTGTTGATGTAAAATAAATAAAGAACAATATGTAACAATTTATTTATAATAGAAACAAAGTGAATTAACAGTAGTATTTTATATTATGAAAAAAAACTAAATATAATACATCATTATTTTTATTTATAATATTTTTATTTAAAACACATATATAAGATAATAATATAGAAAGAATTTAAAATATAGAAAGTAAGATAATATGCACATAATAGAGGAAGATGATAAATAGATTTATATGGAATAGTTTAAACATATCAAATATTTGTATTTATGGATCCAAACCCAAGGTTTTTGGTGTAAAAAATTAGTAACTTTTATTCAAGTCATATAACAAAGCGTGATATTTTGCCACGTAAAACTATAAAGCGTGTGAAGATGTTACTGAAGTTCAGCGTATTCTGAAATTATATATAAGAGGGATATTATACTGTACACTCGCTTCGATTTGGGTATGATACCGAAATTATCGAACCATAGGAACAATTTCCATTATCTTTTATTTTATATTTTTTTTTACGACTGAATATAATTAAAGACGTCATCCTATTTTTATTATTTGATATGAAGCTCTCATCACTTTCACAAAGTACAGAAAGCCAGAGGTTAAAAAGTGGGCTAACCACACAGTCTCGAATGTCTGGAGGCATACATCTATCTATATAAGTATAAAAAGGTTTGATATTTACCTGAAATAGCAATAGAATTCCCGCTTAAATAATTCGTTTTTACTATTATTAGTAATTTTTTTGAAAAAAAATTGAAAAGAAGCGGTCATTTTTTACAATTCAAAATAAAAAAGTCAACAATTGCGGATCCGTTTATTCATTTGTCCGAGATTTTGGTACCTTTTTTTGTTACCATAACAAAAGAAAGTATTAAATGATTAAGTCTAACTATTGTACATAATTTTGGTCCAATATTTTACTCAAATATGTTCTGCTTTGTTGCAAAGTAGAATCTATACAAATCCCGTAAGTCAACAGCTCACGCGTTTTCATTTATCCGAGGAGCTCGACTGGAAAAGCTTGGCGGCGAATTCAGATCCTACGGTGTGGGTATCAGGGACGAGCAGCCTCGCCGCCAAGTAGGCTTCAATCGCGAGAGAGATCGAGAATTTGATCCATCTAGGGATGACGAGTTTCGCAACCCTAGCTGCAACAATCCGGATCCATCCTTCAATTCAGTGAAAACTGATAAGTTATTTTGTATTTTTTCAGTTTGTTTTTCGTCCATATTTCAAGGTAATTGTGTGGCTGATCTATGCGGAGCAGAGGATGAACATGGTCTTCATGGTGGAGAATATGGGGATGGCGCTGCCGCTGGACGACGAGTTCATGGCGACGACGGAGCAAGAGAAATGGGTCATGGAGCTGATGGACTCGATGACAGGTCGAGGCCCCCATCGTCTTTTTCCCGTGTTTATACTTCTCCATTGAAGGGATGTTCGGATGTATCATTGTATCCTAGGTAAAAATTCGTTCTATCTCTTCATATATGCCCTAATTTTTATGCAGTTCGACTGTGCTTTGTGCGTGTATCTGTGGTTCTTGTGGATATGGTGTACAAATAACTTATGTGCAGGATGTAAATAAGAATGGGTCTAGGCATAACTTAGCTGAAGAGATTCGGCGTGAAAAGGGACTCGATGATTCATGGTGAAATTGGAAAATCCATCACGACCTCTATTATATTCAGGTCACCTTAATTCTATATTTTGGTGTTACGGATCCCTTTTTTCTTGGTTTTATGAAATCCTTTTTTAGTTTTTATCAATGAAATAAATAGCTCGCTAAAGTTGCCGCTATTTGAGAAATAACTTTTTTTGGCAGCGTGCCGCTATTTGTATTCATGTTCAATTTAGCCGCTAAATCCCGCTAAATCTCCGCTATAGCTCCGCTATAGCTACAGTGCCATAAACGTTTTAGCCCGCTATTTAAAACCTTGGTTTTTATTTATTTGCTTTGAGGTGGTTTTGAGGAAGTCTAGGATTGGCTTGCGATGTTATCAGAGCATAATTAATGGAGTTCTTGAGACTTCAATATTTCCCTTATTATCATGCATATCCAACTAATTTCTATATTTTATATTATGTTCTTTCCTGCCAGTTGGTGTATCAACTCTTCGTGACGAATGGACAGTCTGGAGAAGAAGACTTGAAAATAGTTATGAAAATGTCGGAGGAATCTATTCGTGCTCAAGGGAGATATCCTTATACTACATTTGCTAACCATGTGAGGGAGCCTGAAATGCGTCGGCGACAGTCGGGCTATCACTTTGGAGCGATTGCCGGAACTAATGATCAACTAGGGAAATTCCTATTTCTTGACGGTAATTTATCTATCATTTTCTTGATGGTAATTTATCTATCCTTTGCTATTTACCTTTTTTTTATAATCTGGTAGTAATATGGGCATTTTTCCTTTAGTCTATTAAAATTAGTGACATACGGAAAGTTGACCCCTCCAGAGCTTGTAAGTATTTTAATAATTGCTTTAAGGATCCATCAACTCTTATTGTTGTCGTTGTTGGTAATATTGATCATGCCCTTTTTGGCCATCTGATACTGAAGTGTTTGGTAAGTATTGTGGATCTTTCTAATAATTTTCGGTGATTGATGTGTCTTCTCTGTTTATGAGTTTTATAATACTTTATCCAGGGTGGAATCCAAGACCTCCCAAGCAAATCCTGAATTTCAAACGTGATGAACTCAAAGGCTTACCATTTACTTTTCCGTCCACTGTCATTAGGTTGGTCAACCATTAGTTACCTTTTTATTTCTTGACAGTTAGGGTGCCGCATGATAAATAATATCTTTGTCGGTTATGAATAGATAAAAGCACGTAAATTTGTATATGTATTATTACTCTGTCTCTACGTCCATATGCTATATATATATATGGTTGTGCCACATTGTGTGGTTATTCCAATTTGGCGTATGTGTAACCTATTGAATTGCGTGGTTTTACCTTCTCTCTTCATTATAGGTGTGCTTAATAAAATTGCCTCTCTTTGGCATTTTTTTTTTTCAGTTTGTAGTAAGGCTTCCTGAACAGTGATTTAAATAGTACATAAACTTTAGTTTCAAAGTCTCAAACCAAACATAAGATAATTAATGTAGAATCTGCATTAATAAAGAAAATTTGTTATTATTTGAATTGACTGAACGCAAAGGGCTAGCCAACTTTGAACCGTCAAGTAAGATTCTTTATACAAATAATCCAATGTTAATAGTTTATGTCACTTTAGTCTGTGATGATACCCATATACCCATAAATCTTGAGGGTCCAACTTTTGAACAATTAAACAATCTTCTAGAATTCCCTCAAACATTTGTAAAATTCTCTCATTGTAGCAGCGGCTTTGGACAATGGCCATGTTGCAACTTACATGAACTATTGATGGAAGATGAACCCAAGAAGTACCAGTCCGTGTTTAGCCAGTACATCAAGAAGGGTGTTGAAGCAGATAACACAAAGGCTTTGTACAAGAAGATACATGCAGCTATTTATGTTTGACCTTACAGAAAAGAAAATTCAAAAGCAGCCTACTAAAGAGCACAAGAGATTCAACCTGAAGAAATTGACAAGCGAAGAGAGGACATCAAATGTTAGACGAGTTACTATGAAAAGTTTGAGTAATGTTTTGATTTACGACATATGTATCAAACCTTTTTTTGTGGGTTATTTGGTTGTGTTATGTGTATGGGGATTCTTTTGTGGGTATTTTTAGCTAATGGGATGAAATATTTGACTCCTGAAAAAAAATAAAAAAAAAAATAAAAAATAAAAAAAACCACCTTCTCGAATTGAAGCCCCTTATATGCTATTTTCCTTAACTTATATATTTGCATATTGATTATATCAGTAGCATGAAAATTTTTAAAAAAATCCCGCCTTCATATATTAATTAATCAGTTTATGATATAAAGTTGGAAAAAATAATAAATCCCCTTTTTAGGTTGATTTGTTATATAATTAAGGTGATATGATTTTCAATTTTATTATATTCCTATAATTACATGTCATAAGATATTGATAATTCAAAAAATTGATGTGTATTCTTCTTGAAAATAAAAAATGATTTTCAACAAATATTGGTTAATAAAATTTAAAATTTGTAATTTAAATATTATGAATTAGTTGATAAATTTGAACGATAAAGTAACCAACAATAAATTCATAACAATAAGAGACAATATATATAATAAAGGAATTTATTGTGTACTACGAATTTGGGCCCCAAATTTAAAAGTCAAATAAGTAATTATTCATTATTTATGGGTCAATATTAACTTGGACATAAATGTAATTGTCAATTATTTATGGTGTAATGAAGTACTCAACTATTTAATTTTTTTTTTTATATTTGAATAGTTATACAAAAATAAAACAACATAATTTTTATATTTAAATTAATAAAACAACATAAGTTTTATAATTATACTTATTCTTTACATATAATTTTAAATATGTGATAAATTTTTATCGAGATATTTATTTTATGGAATTACACTGTAGTCAAGACGAATTTTTGAATAAAAATTTTAAAATAACACTTATTTTAAAATAATATAATATAATTTATTATTAGTTACATTCACCGTACGGGTTGTGTACTAATTTTGAGACATATTTTATGTAATTTTTCAAAATTTAAATTTCATATAACATTTTCAATAATTCATATAGGTAAATTGTATCACATAGTGATTCTATATTTTTAAATT